ATTGTTAGTGGGACGGGGGGGGGGGGGGGGGGGGGGGGGGGGGGTGATAAACACTCATTAAAGGATAGGGAGGGGGTAAGAGTATTTTTAATAATGTAGGGGTCTAGGTGATAATGTGTGAAACCTCAAGGGAGGTCACCGATAACTTCCCTTACTTATATTGGGATTGATTGGGTAATAGTTTTTTTACCCCCCAAAACGTCATTTTTCCAATAGCAAATGTTGTTTTTTTCAGCGTGTTGCTTCCAATCTGCCAAAATACAAACACCCCCATTGTAATGATCATGACACTCATAGGGTCCGTTTGGTAGTTTACACATTAAAACTTCACACGCAAAATGATTGCATGCAAAGTGTAGGGTAGTAATCACTTTACATGCACGGGCGAACCGTAGTAGAGACCCGGGGGGGCTACCCCCCCCCCCCAACAATTTTTTGTGTGTATATATATAAACTAATTTTACCCCCCTCAACAAATCATTCTCGCCCCTCCAAAAAAAATTGACCCCCCCCCCCCCCCCCCAAAAAAAAAAAAAAAATTCGCCCCCAAAGCATAGCCTACTCGCAGATACCCAATTATTTAAGAGCCTAAAAAATAGAAATTATAGAAGTAATATTATATCAGGCTATTAGCCCACTCAAAAATTTATTCCCACTTTCCCAGCCCACCCCAAAATTTATTCCCAGAATCCCAGCCCACCCCAAAAAACTTTCCCAACCCACAACCTAGCCCATGAACAAACCTGCGCACAACACACCTAGAAGAAAGAAAAGGCGTAAACTTAGAATGCCAAACCCACGAACAAACCTGCGCACAACCAAATGCTATGCATTTGGTGTCAAGCACCAAAATGTTGATCCAAAAGTTAAGGGAAGGTGGATGGCAAAACTTCATAGAAATTGTTAAAGAGTTTTGCAAAAAGCATGAGATTGAAGTTCCAAATATGAAGTCTCCTTATGAGGTCAAACGCAAATGCCATGATCAAGAAGGGTTTAATATTGAACGTCACTATCAGGTTGATATGTTTTACGCAGCCATAGATTCACAATTGTTAGAGATGAATAACAGATTCAGAGAACAGATAACGGATCTTCTTACTCTTAGCTGTGCTTTGGATCCTAAGGACTCGTATAAGTCCTTTAACATTGATGATATCTGTTCTTTAGTGGATGAATACTACCCCTTTGATTTTATTGAGCAGGAGAATGTGGGCTTGAGGTTTCAATTGCAACATTATAAGCTCAATGTTCTAAACCATCCAAAGTTGGCGAATTTGTCTACAATGGCTGAACTTTGGCAAGGATTAATTAGCTGAGACGGAGATGTCAAAAGTGTATTTTCTTATTGATAGATTGATCCGACTTTTGTTGACTCTACCGGTCTCGACAGCAACACCAGAAAGGGTTTTTTCAGCAATGAAAATTATAAAAAACAAAGCTTTGCAATAAAATGGAGGATGAGTATCTTGCAGACAACCTTGTTGTTTATATTGAAAGAGAAATTGCTAAAACTTTTGACTCAAAAGCCGTGATTGAGAAATTTATCTCGTTGAGAAGGAGCGCCAGGCACAATTCTAAGGTATTAACTTTACTATTTTGTAATAACATATTTGTCACTTCTTCTATTTTTTGCCTATTATGTACTATTTTAATGCTTCATTTTATTACTATTATATAAAGGTTATAATTTATAATAATGAGCGCTTAGACTTTTTTTGTTTAAATTATCGCCTCCAACATCAATTTTCTGGGTTCACCCCTGTTTACACGTAAAATAAAAATACATCGTTTGACTTCTATGTAATCTATTTGTATTACTCCGTACATGCAAACTCTTTACCATGTTTATGAGTTAATTTATAATATAGGACTAAAAGCCTTGCCATTTGCAAAAATAGGACCTAAAAACGAAATTGGCATCCGTGGGACTCAAAAGAAGGTAAGTTTCCAATTTTAACCTCCAAATTAAAACTTCCGCACGCCTGATGTATTTGAAGCGCCAAGTAAAGCACAGGGAGTTGAGAGCCGAAAATATAACGGTTACCGCATTTATTATACAATCTTATTTTCCGGCGCATATCAAGCGAATCCAAAAGCAAATCTTCCTAAACTACTCCCGTCTCACCGTATTGGAAGTGTTTCTACTTTCCATTTTTCTGGCGCAAAAACGACGAAGAACGAAGGAGAAGAGGAGTTAAGATGGAAGAAGATGATTTTCAAAAACAGAGCACGAGAAGATCAAGCAATCGGCTGAATCGAAACATGGTAAGTTTTTTTGGACATGCATGTTACTGAATGTAATCGAAAATCAAAATGGAAGTAAAATCAATAGTGTGAGTATTTTACAGAAAACAATGGCATTATTCGAAGTTGTTGTTGTTCGAATGTCTTTGTTTGATTTGTGGCATTATTCGTAGTTGTTGTTTGATTTATGGCATAAACAAATAAAAGTTGTATTACATTTTGGAAGAAAGAGTAATCGTTTGTAATCACATAAATAGCAATTGCGAAAATGTCAAAATAGTGGATGAATTGGTAAAAACGTAGAACAATGAGGATTTGCTGGTGTGACTATTTATCAGAACAGTATGGAAGTAGTTTGAAATAAATGTGGTTAAGTTGGCAGTTTCTGTGTGATTTATGTCATAAACAAGTGAAAGTGTAATTATATTTTCAAATAAATTTAACTCTAAATTTAATTCTGTATGTTGGGGTAAAGTAAATAAGGAAATGCCAAAACAATGGCATAATTCGTAGTTGTTATTGTTTGAATGTAGTTGTTGTTTGATTTGTGGCATTATTCGAAGTTGTTGTTTGATTTATGGCATAAACAACTAAAAGTTGTATTACATCTTCGAACAAATAATAATTGTTTATGATGATGTAAATAGTAATACAACTTTTATTTGTTTATTGCCATGGAGTGTGAATGTATATGTGCTTATTGCCATGGAGTGTGAATGTATTGTGAATGTAATGACACTTTATTTGAATTGTTGATATTATGCCATAAAGATGTCATGTTTTTCCATATTGTTTGTTGAATAGTTGGAGATAGATGCATTTAAAGAATACATAATGACAAAATGTTGGAAGAAATCCTAATAATGTGAAGCATAAGCTATGTAAATCACAAATAGAATAGTCATAGTTTTGGAAAAAATATACTCTATTGTGAATATGATGACATTTTATTTGATTTCTTGGTGTTATGGAATAATGATGTCATGTTTATCCAGATTGTGTGTTTCATAGCAGTTGACACTTTATTTGAATTGTTTTTTTTTTGCTAAAATAGGTGATTCAGAGATCTTTCAACGAAAATGAATTGGACAATGTTGAGAGCATGCGAATTAACTGTTATTGTAGTCTGAGTGAAGTCGTGAAGAGAATATTGAAGCAACTGAAACCAAATGAGATAGAGGAGTTCAGAAAGACAGTGTTCGGATGGGTGTTGGATGTGGAAGAAATGCGAACTGTCAGTGGTCAACTTCAGCTTGGTTTTCTATGCAACTATGTCAAAAAGGTTAACCACATAAAAGAGACAGAAGTCATTCGCTTCCACATCCAAAACAGTCTAATTAGTTTTACAAAAATAGATTTATGCATTGCATTGGGATTGAAAATGGGAGGTGTGAAACCAACTTTAGAAGAGGAGATGAAAGGACCTTTTTGGAGAAAATATTTTGGAAAAACAGGTTTGAAAAGAAGTGAGGTACAAAATGCATTGATGAAATATAATAGTGAAGATGAAGGAAGTGAAGAAAATGATGGTGTGAAGCTTGCTCTACTCCATGTGCTATCACATGGATTATTTGGAAACCAAGTGGCTAGGGATTTACCAAACTGTTATGTGAATCTGGTCGAAGATTTAGAGGCATTCAACACATATCCATGGGCTGATGATGTCTAGGCAGATTTGGTGACCAACATGAGAACAAATTGCAAGATCCTTAAGAAGTGCAAGGGGGAACGTGTGACTCTACCAGGTTGTCTAATAGCTTTACAAGTATGGGCTTTTGAAACGTTTACAGGGTTGACAAAGGCAAATATATGCAAGGTCATTGAAGGAAGAGAAACAGGAATTCCAAGAGCAGTGAAGTGGGAGTTCAAAAAAAAGCCACATATGGAAGTTTTCTGCAAGATAATCTTCAAGAACAAACAGGTAAATTCGCTTCGTTACTTATTATTTAAATAACATGTGAAGTGACAATTAATACATTTAAACTGTATTTTTGGATCTTTTACATGCAGTTTGAATGGGAAAGGATGCAGGCTACAAGATTGGAAATTAAAAAAATTCCAAATTTAAGGGCCAATAGTGGTCTTATAGTTGGAAAAAGAATTGAAGGTGTGGAGGTATTTCAAAAAAAAAAGAGAAAGGGAAGGATAAGAAAGCAAGGATTTCAAAGAGAACTGGGAAAAAAGGAAAAAATGCAGATGATGTTGAGGTAGAGGATGATGATGAAGGGGTAGTGGGTTTTGGATATGAGAGGAAAGTGACTGTTGTTTTGAGACAAGTGAGGAAGCTAAGCAAAGAAAATGCCAAGTTAATGGCAGAAATGAAACTAATAAGGAAAGCACAGAAGAGGAATGAGAGATTTCTTAAGCAAATATTGGACAAGTTAGACAACCAAGAGAAGGCGAAGGAGACAGTAAGTGAGGAGAGTGTAGATGAAAGCAGTGATGGTGCAAATGAAAAATCAGAGAGTGGAGATGAGACAAAACATAATATTGAAGACGATGGTGCAACTACAGAAGATAATACCAAAGATGATGCTACATTTGAAGAAGATAATGTTGAAGATGATGGTACAGCTCCAGAAGATAATCATAAAGATGCTGTTGCAGCTCCAGAAGAAAATGTTGAAGATAATGCTAAAGATACTGGTGGAGCTCCAGAAGATAATGATCAGGTGGGTTGCAGTTTGCCAAACTTTAATATTTTTGGGCCAGAAACACAGGAAAAATTTAAGGAAGCAGATGACGGTGGAACAATGGAAGAAGAAGATGTAAGTGAGAAAGGAAGAAGTCATGACAAGAATGTTAAAGATGCAGTAGACGACGATGGAAGAGTGGATGAAGAAGGTGAGGGTGCAAGAGTAGAAGAAGCAAGTCGGAAAGGCAAAAATAATGAGAAGACTGATAATGATGCTTGGGGAGATGTGAACACCCAATTTGTGAATGAAATGATCACAAGTGTGGATGAAATAGAAAAACAAATGCTAGCTAAAGCGAGCACAACTGCTGACATCAATGCGAAAGCGGTAAGATTTTTGTTTTACAAACCTTAAACAAAAAGAAAATTAAATAAATGAAGAACTTTATGTTATATGAGTAGTTATGTTTATTTTTTATTTTTTTCTTGTGTTGGTTTTACTAGCAGCATATGGAAAAAGGAGTTGAAGAGAGTGAGATGAGGGAAAGCAGAACAAAGCATAAAGAAGTGGAAAAGGATGTAAGTATATTTTGGAAAAAGTTCAAAATATTTGAAACAAAATTCCAAATATTTGGAAAAAGTAAACTATAACATATTACTAAATTACAGGTGAAGACCATATGCGCACAAATGCAAAGAAAAAAGCGCAATGTAAGGACCCCAAACCGATATACACCTGGAGAAACTAAAGTTCAGGCTAAGAGAAGAAGAAAGCAAATAGCTAAGAGAGATGTAGATGGAAGTTATTTTCCTCCAAGAGAGTATGGACCTTTTGCGGAAGACCCGACTGAGAGACCACCAGAAGAAGAAATAAAAAAGGTGGAAGAATATCTAAAAGTTGGTCTCTTGAAGAAATTGAAGAAAAAGGGATGTGATAGAAAGTACAGGATTGAAGAGGAAAACATGCACAATGTCCCGTTTCTTCTGGATATGCACAAAATAGAGTCCAAAACGTGGCTGTATAAGTTGTTTGTGAATCCAGAATGGCTAGATGATACGGTAATGATTTACTTTTACTACTAAAACAGTATGTTGTAGATCTCAATGTAAAATATAGCGTTAAAATAGGTACTGTATTAGATTTATAACATTTGATTTTGGTTTTAAATTTGTTTGCAGCATATTGATGTGGCAATGTTTTACTTGAATATGAAACAAGTGCACTACAACATCAAGGGCCCCAAATACACCACATGTGGCCCATTTATTATGCAAGTGTTGAGGCGTGAAAATGAAGAAATTAAGAAGAGTGAGTCTTCAATCCAAAGTGCAGCAGACAATCCGGTAATTGCAGACGATATATTAGGGATTGCATATCCTTTTGATCGAAGTTGGGCACAGTCAGATTTCGTGTACATACCTCTGAATACCGGAAACCACTGGATACTGCTAGTTCTGGAAGTAAAAGAAAGAAAAATAAGGATTTACAACTCCAACAGCAGAAGGGCAAATTCCTTAAGAGAAATCAGACCTTATGTGCCGAGCATTAAGTGCTTTCTTCCAAAAATAATGGACATCCATGGAGTGTATGAAGAAATTGGGCTGGAACCAATGAATGACAAAAAGATTGAGTTGCAAACTGTGGAGGACTGCCCACAACAAGATGACGGGTAAAATATGAGTTTTAGAGCTGGAGTATATCATAATTTATAATATTTCATTCAAAACTTATTTCTGGTTTTTTTAACGGTGTGTCATCATCACAGGGGGAACTGTGGCATGTACGTTTTGAAGTTCGTTGAGTTTCCTATGATGGGCATGGACATGAAGGAGGTAAGCTCGATGGACATGTGCATGTATCGGGAGAAAATGGCAACAGAGTTGGTTTTGTATAACGCAAAGAGAACAAAGGAATGTAAAATGAAGGAGGCAGCTTCGAGAAACATGGCAGAAAAAGGATGAAAAATTACAAATCTAGTCTGATGATGCTTTACGGATGTTATGTTTTTAGTATTTGAATTTTATGTAATGGTGTTGAATGTAATTGTTGAAGTAAACTGATGATATTGTGAAGCACAATATGCTGAAATATAAGTGGCAGAATGTAGTATACTATATTTTTAAATGCCTAAATATTGGCATAGTTGGGAGAACATTATATATGACATTATATTTGGTTCATTATGTAGTCACATGGATATAAATTGGTTTTTTTAGTAATGAGACAAGTATTAAAATAACATCTGCAAAGGGTAACACGTACACGGCTGGATACTAATCATGTCCATAGTGGCAAAATGTTCTATAATTTGGTTGAAAATGCCAAAATGTTGGCCGTTTTGTAAGATAAATGTTTTATATTGTGAGTTGGATATACATTGGGTGTGTTATTAATGACACAAGTATTACATTAAAATCTGAAAAAGGTTAACAAGCAGAACACTCGATTATAATCATAAGTCAATAGTGGCAAAAGGTCGCATATTTTGTTTGAGAATAACTAAATATTGGCAGTTTTGTGAGATAAATAGATTAGATTTATTATATAGACATTTGCATATACATTTTGGTTTTTCTATTAATGAGAGAAGTATTACACTCAGAATGAAAAAGGATAACAACTAGACAACTGAATTAGAATCACACATCCATTTACTTTGAAATGAATGCCTGGACTGCAAATATATGTGGAAAAATACATTGTACAACGTTCCAAAATTCAGAAATATTGGCATTTTAGAGGAAAAATGAATAGAGCCAAAGAAGTACATAGCAATTGTAAAAATTGTGCCACAAAAACAACATATTACCTACAAATTAAAATCAATGGCAAACAATTGACATTAAAAAAACAAAAAGTAACACAAATGTTAAGTAGTTTACATGTATTAAAAGAAAGGCACTGTAGTATAATATGCCCTAAGAAAATGATCCAATACAAAAATAACAAGTATTGAATTCAATGGAATCATAGTGAAGTAGGTAGTGGTATCACATTGCGACAAGTCTTCTTATTGTGACCAACAACATGGCACCGAGAACATTTTTGCCGTTTTGTCCCACGATGCTCACCAATAGATGGTATATCCTTGACTTTCTCGGACGACCAGCTGGCCTTTTCTCACAAAGGGGAGGCTTGCAGCAAATGCTCAAAACATTGGAAGGAACCATCCAAGATGATGGGTCTGTAATTGGATGCATAACAGCACTCCAAGTAGAATACCAATAATGGCGTGTGTAATATGGAGAAATAAAATCATAGCACGACAGGTGAGGTCGAACACCAATAACAGCAACAGCATGAATGCAAACAAAATGAGACAATTGAAACTCCCCACATGTACATGTCTTGGCATTGAGATCAACAACAAAAGAACGGGAATGTCTATCAACCACTTCAAATTCCAAATATGAGCACGGCTTTACCTAGAATAATGAAAAAGTGAACAATAATATGTAACTTGACAATGGAAAAGGACAATGCAAAAACATATAAGAAACTGTATGAAAAATCCGAAGGTGGCAGAATGTACCATATGTTGTAGGAAACTTCCAAAGATTAGGCATTAATATAAATGGACAAAAATATTGCAGAAGAAAAAACAACTAACCCTGAGTTTCCTAGCTTGACTTTGAAGTGAAACCAGTAGCTTTTCACGTTTTTTTGTCAAAAAAGAGGTTGTCTTCTCAGCCTTTTCCTTTCTCTCAGTGAACCATTGTTGCATTCTTACTCTCAAAAAGTCAATGAGTTTAGCGACAGAATACTCCCTTGCTGAAACATCTACATTGTTCATTGACTCTGCACAATTTGATGTCATTATATCATACCTACGAGGACCACACATGCACTTTGCCCATTTATGACTGCCAATTTTTTCTAGCCATGGTCGTATACGGGTATCTTCGGAATCCAACAATGTCATGTACTCTTCATACTCCTTCACAGTTGAAGCCATATAAGCAGCTTTGAACTTCCAACCTAAATCAACCGCGGAGCCCTTGAATTTAGAAATCATGTTACGACGCAAATGCTCAACACAATATCCATGACGAGCATGTGGAAAAATCTTTTTAACTGCACTAAGCAAGCCCTTATGTCTATCTGATACAATGTACATGTCCTCGCGGAACATCAATGCTTCACGAACTTTAGAAAAAAACCATATCCAAGACTCTTTAGATTCTGAATCACATATGCCAAATGCTAGTGGGACAATTTGACCATTTGCATCTTGAGCACAGGCTGTGAGAAGGGTACCCTTGTAATACGCCTTCAAAAATGACCTGTCTGCAATGAGAACTGGTCTGCAATATTTCCACGCCTCCATCCAAGGTAAGAGGGATATGAAAAAATAACGGAAGGTATTATCTTCTGAAGTTATAAGAGAAATTAGAGAATTTGGATTAGCTTTTTCAAGAGCATACGCCAAAGACGGTAGCAATTGGTATGAGTCAGAATCTGTTCCAAACTGTTTCTGCATAGCTATCTTCTGAGCTTTCCAAGCATGTGCGTAAGAAATGGAAATACCATGATTCAGAAGCATGTCTTCCCTTATTTCATTTGGCCTATAAGGCTTTTTTGACGCATCCAAAAATTTATGCGATACAAGCTCTCCAACAGTGCGGTAGGTCGCTTGGCGATGTTTGCCTTGACGAAAATCAAAAGAGCACGTATGTGATGATGTAATTTTGCAGAAAACAAAGTACTAAAAATGTGAATATGAAAAGAATATGGAAAATATGCCAACATAATGGAATAAAAGACAGACAGAATGGTTCACTAAATATACAGTAATGGAGAAATACCTTCGTATCTGAAACATTTGGACACCACGTAGTCTTACAGCCCTCACAGCCCATTTACATTTTTTATCCAAGCAGATAACGTGTAAACATGTCTTCTTTGATGTTAGTGTCCTGAATTGGAACACATTATCTATTGCGTACAGCTTCAAATGGTGAAGAAGATCTGCTTTAGAATTGTAAATAGCATGCAATACAATCTGAGTGGGGTGATAGTGAGTGATGACATCGAGATTATGATGAACAGAAAAATTGTCATTACACATTGAAGAAGGTGACAGAGTAGAGCTAACTTCTGGGGTAGGACTACGAGAGAGCACATCTGTATTGGTCATATGAGTTTGGGAAGTGTCTGTAACATTGACCTCATTATTAACTTGGACGTAATGTTCTTCAATACTGTTGAAAGAAGAACGAATATGACCAGAAGATTGATTTAAGAAACATGGAATTTTTGGTAGAACAGTTTGTGCAACAGAATTTGTGGGACAAGATACAACAGGTTGTGCAACAGGTTGATCAACTAAGAATTCCACACACAAGGAAGATTTTTGAAAATCAGTTTGAAGAGACTTAAGATAAAGGTAAAAACGAAACGTTTCGTCATCATGGATAGAAACATGTGGAGGACAACCATCAACAATGTAAGAAAGATTAAAGTGGTTATTTGATTTGTAAGGAGAAAATATGGAAGATAATTGTTCCATGAATGCTGTGTAGTTTGCAGAGAAAAGAACTTGCATAGCAAAGGTGGATCTGCAATTGAAGTTGTAGTCATTGTCCCAAGTACCATCAACTTTCA